TTGAGGCTGCAGGTTCCCCACCCTAAGAGTAGTAATCTAGTGTTTTCTCCAAGAGTAAAGTCGTTAGGAAAGAGCAGCCCAGCTGGCTATCAGGAGCACTGATCCCCATACCAGACTACAGACTGAAGAAAGTGAATTGATAGTTCTGTTTGCAGACTATTTGTGTTAAATAAAACTGTAAACTGTACAAAAATATAAATGGTGGCGCAAATACGAAATGAGATGACTGTGAAGTCCAAACATGCATAGATTAGACTCTGACACTCTACAGTACTCTCACAGTCAGAAAGTGCACCTTCCTGTCAGAACTCATTCAGTGAAACTGAGGTGGTTGCTGTTAGTTTTATTCCCTAGAGGACATTTGGATCTTTAATTTCCTCACTGGTTTTTTTTTTTAGAGACAGAGTCTTACTTGGTCACAGCTCACAGCAACCTCTAGCTCTTGGGCTTAGGCAATTCTCTTGCCTCTGCCTCCCGAGTAGCTGGGACTACAGGTGTCTGCCACAACGCCTGGCAATTTTTTTTTGCCGTTTGGCTTTGGCCGGGTTTGAACCCACCACCCTTGGTATATGAGATTGGTGCCCTACTCACTGAGCCACAGGTACCACCCTCATCGGTTGTTAAGAGCAGTTTTTCTTCTATTAACTATAAAGTGGGGGAAAAAACATTTTCTGAATTTTTTGTCTTCCACAGGTTATGATGATGGTTCTTCCATTATTGATATTTGTGCTTCTGCCCAAAGTGGTCAACACAAGTGATCCTGACATGAGACGGGTAAGATAATTGCCGTGGGATTTTGAGGCCTGGTCCAGCCCATTGTGGCTATATGGCTTGAGTTTTTTCAACTTTATCCCAGTTTCTAAGCCAAATTACTCTAGAGGTTATATCATTGTTCCTGGCATCTAATTAGTTGTTTCATTGGACCAGATAAATTCATTTGGTTCTACATGGTAAGGCCTGAGTCTCTTCCTATAGCTGACACATTCCACTTCTCACCTCTTTATGTGCCTCACCTGCTAAATGGTTGAACTGTATAATCCTGGTATACCTAATCCAGATATTTTGCAAAATGATTGGTCCTATAAGCTGTCTCAGAGTATATACTCAGTTTATGTGTTCAAACACACAAAAGAAATTCATATAGATCAAGGGCAACAAATAGAATAATGGCTTTCAAACTCTGTACCACAAAATCCTGCTCATTCTGCAAGATGGAGAGGAGAGTTGCTAAGTAGAATGCTTCCAATTTGCCACTTTTTCTGTTTTGAATATTGGCTTCCATATAAAATCTTTGGTTTTGAAAAAGGTATTGTCCATTCTTCTATCCAGTAATGAACAAATATCTTCTGAATTCCCAAATTCTCCAGTTTAGCATATTGGTA